TGTTGGTCTTCCCAGTCCTTACTCAAGACATCCTCATCTTGGTTCCTGTGTCTTGGATTAAAGGCTTCCTCGGAAATGTCACATCCCTCCAACTCGTGAGTTATTTCCCTACTGGAACCTGCAGAGATTGGGTCCCAGTCCCCAAAGTGATGTGAGATGAGGAAGCTATAGCACAAGGACTGGTGGTGGGCTGTCAGAGAAAACACACACCAATCTATTCCACAATATCATCAGCCAGACATGGCATGTATTTTGATTCTGGCCTAAAAGTTTCATTTTCTACAGGAAAGGTTCTGTCCAACATGATTTTGTGAGTCCATATCTTTGGAGGTTATCTGATACAGCATAAGTAGATGATCGTGTTTCCAATAAGAATTATCTCTTTATCTCATTTTTTCATACCACTCATTTATTTTGGTATTCTTACGGTTCTGGCTGTGTATTCCAACTCAGTTCTTTGTGCACAAAGATTTGGTTTTTGTCACCTGAGACACACTTTGCAGTGCAGAGACAAAAAGTGAATTAAGAGGGGTCAGCCTCTGGTTATGAGGAGTGGAACAGGGTGGGCTCCAGATGGCTAGATGTAGTCTAGCCCTAGTATGTACTGGACTTGTGAATGTGTGCACATTGCCCAACTCTCTGAGCTTCAAGTTCATTGTCTGTGAAGTAGATTTAATATGTCCTGTCTTCTAGACTTGTTGGAATGTGTGTATTGTATGTAAAGCACTACATTCTGATTATTTATTATTCAACCAATGACAGATCATCAATTGCTCATATGCAAGTTTAACTTAAAGTGGAAGATCATTAAAATAAATCTATGACAGCCAAATTACAACCTCAAGTATATCCCATCTGAATTTAGGGACCATCTGAAGAATAGATTTGATGCATTCAATACTAATGACTGAAGACTAGACGTGTTGTGGGATATCATCAAGGATGTGCTACATGAGATTGCAAGTGGTCATTAAAAAGGCAGGAAAGGAAGAAAAGACCAAAATAGATATTAGAAGAGACTCTGAAACTTGTTCTTGAATGGAGAGTATATAAAGTGAACAAAAGAAATGATGAAGCAAAAGACTTGAACAGAATATTTCAAAGGGCAGCTTGTGAAGATAAAGAAAACTGTAACAAAATGTGCAAAAACTTGCAGTTACAAAATCAAAATAGAACATGCTCGACATTTCTCAAGCTGAAAGAACTGAAGAAAAAATTCACGGTTCAAATTGCAATATTGAAGGATTCTATGGGTAAAATGGGAGCTCTGGTAGCCTAGTACCTAAGGCACTTGACTGCTAACCAGAAGGCTGGTGGTTCAAACCCACCAGCCACTCCTGGGA